TTGCTCCCCGTCACCGATACAAAACGATCGTTCGAGGAAGAAAGGTTGGAAGAAACGAATCTTGCGTGAAATCGCGTGCCGATTCCTTGCTTCCTTCCTTCCTTTTTTCCTTCCTTTCTTCGGTCGTAAAATGTTTATCGGAGGGGAAGCTCGATCGAGGCCGTTGCAACGTCGAAACGGAATGCAAATAACGGCCGCCATACTCACTTTTCTTTCTCGCTGGCTTCCGGCAGTAAAAATTTGACGGCGACGAGACGCTTGCCCAGGGTGGTCGTCGTTCCGTACTCCGGGATCCCTTCTGCTTCCGCCACGTACACCTTTATGGGCATAATTTGTTTACGTTTTTACACGGGAATCGTTTTCGGTCGGAGAAGAATCCACGAGGAAAAATTCCCACGAAGCGGGGGATCGGGACGCGTTTATTATTATTATACGGAAAAATAAAAGTCCAGGGAGGGTAAAGGATCCTCGTTCGGGGTTATAAATTCCTCTAACGAGAATGGATGAATCCACGAATTTGATTATTCGTCGTTCGGACCAATTTATCGTGTAAGTTTTAAACGAGGATATATATATATATGTATTACGTGCATAGATACGCGATGGTGGGAGAGGATTCGACCGGAAGTCGGATAAGGGAAATACTTCTTAGAGTGCGTTTTTGATCGAAGCTCTATAATATTTCTTATCATGTACCGTTCGTTGCTGAAAAAGAAAAGTCTCGTGGAACAGGGGACGTTTTGTTAACAATCTTGATGTCACATATTATATAGTAGTAATAGAATAATTACAATTTTCATTTAGGAAATTATGTTAGGATAAGTAATAATGTTACAATTATTACTTGAACACGAAATTACATTTATAAATTAAATTATCGTATATACAAATTATAATTAGCTAATATTTTTATATCGATGCGTTTTCCAAGATCTTCAAGAAAGAGATTTCTTTCCAGCAACGAACATACGCTATACTCATAGATATGATTAAAAGTGTCATTTGTCAATTGACTAACGTATTAAAAATTCTGGGTAATTTTATCACCCGAGATCGTAATCATTACAAAGGGGCGTGATTCTCTCTTCTCAAATGTGTTCCAAATATCTTCGATATGGAGAAGGAGCATCGAAATTTCGTGCCAACATGTCAGCACACGTCGTCCACGCGTCGCCGGGACGGGTCAATCCTGTGCTCGATTCACCGAGATCGATTGTCAAGGCGATCTTCGAAGGGCGCGTAACAACGCATAACTCCTGGCCCTGGAAACTCGAACCAGGGAAGGGAGGCATCCTCTTGGCCATTGATCATTAACGGCCGGGACAGGAAACAAAAGGGAATTATTAGCCGCTCTAACTGCATTCTAAACTGATTATCCTCGACGAGGTGGACGAGGCGCCATTGTGAAGAATAACAGGGTGGACACTTCGTTAATCGACGTATTGTCGGGCTTCGGCCAGTGGGCGAATTTTCCCAGTCAACAAACGGATTGATTTCTCTCTCTCTCTCCCTCTCTCTCTCCCTCATTAATTCACTTTCTCATTCGATCCTCTCACTCTCTCTCTCTCTCTCTCTCTGATGATCGTCGACCAAAATGGAGCGTGCGTTTGCCGAATCGATGGGGAATCGTGGGCCACGACGCCTGTATCTGTCGTCTGTCGTTGTCGATTCGATCGTGGCCAGGTAGGAAGAGCATCACGTCCGGTTCGCAATATCGGCCGTTTGTAATTTAACCCCCGCGCGGCTCGATGCTATTTCAGTAGGTGTTTCCGTTGCTCCGCATTAGCTGGGGTAAAGCGACACTTTGCAAACACCGAGTGTATTATGATAATGTTGCGGGGATCGCGTGGAGAGAGCTACGGTTTGACGTTACAACGCTCCCTCGATGACGTGGAGAGTGGTGTACAGCGGAGGAGATCGCTAATCTCGCGATTCACTGCGAACGCGGGGTTGATGGAGGTTGATGGAGATTGGCCGGAGACGTTAAATTTTATATTTTAGGTTGTTTCTTATTGTTAGTTATAGTTATTTGGATTTATGTTTGCTCCGTTTTAACAGTCGTATCGTTTAAAATTTTCATTCGTTGGAGGATAGGATAGGACAGGACGATAGTCTCTCTTTTATTCGGTTTCGCTTTAACGGGTCCTCCTCCGGTTTAATTATATTTTCGTTACGAAGCCTCTGGAGGGTAAATTAGAAAACTTTATAAAGGAAATTTCAAATGAACGAGTAAAGATGTTCCTCGGGTTTTTAAATGAAAGGAGGAGAAGTTAGGAGTGTAAAGAATTTAACTCGAAACTTCCCTTCTTAATGATGAGAAATGTAATCCAATCTTTATATATATATATAATAAACAAACGTAACGAAAAAACGTATATTTTTTTATTTTATTCTCGACGGATCTTTCGAGTAAATCGGCTCGATTCGCTCGATCAACTACCGATTCAACGCGGAAGTTCGGTGAAGAACCGATTAAGAGAGCGTCTACCGCGGGAAATCGGAATGGGAGCGAGAGTGGAGGGCAGCAGCCTGTTCCAGTTCTGCTCTAAAGACGATAATAAACGTGAACACGGTGGTAATCCTTTATAGACGGGGATAGACGTGACGAATCGTGTTCCCCGCTCGCCGTGTCTAATTTAAAATAGATATGCGCGCGGACGTAATAACAATGTCGTTACCGTTCCGAACGCCCCTTCGGCGAGTTTCGAGAGCATGCGGAGGCGATGCCGTGGGAAGAGCGGGACGCTCGTCTGCTCCAGACGTCTCTTCAGGGCCGAGAGCACCTCCTGTTGAGTCGGCGACTGGAACAAGGAAAGAACAATGCATCGTTCCTGGTATCGCTTCGATAATCAACGATCTATGATCACGCTAACCGAGGCAACACGAGCGGGAGGAGAGGGGGGGGTTTTCAAGTGGGGGCTGGAGATGAATTATTCCTCGCGATGATCGATGAATTACCATCGCCCGTGTACCACCGACAGACTTAAACGATAATTTAAGTGGTAAAATCGAGTCTATAAATTAAAGTCGTCGATCCCATCGATATTTCTAAAAACTATGCGATATCGGTGAGATGTATGGATGGACATATTATTCAAAATTGTTTTATTGGAGATATATATTTCACGAATAATATTTTTAATAATGGTTTGTATAACAACGTCGAATAGAAGAGGAAATAGCGAAATAGGTGATAAAACAATTGCAAAATAATTGAAAATATTCGCCGGATCGAATCGGTGAGGAAAACTTTAAATTCTTTTTTAAACAAAGTTTTATAATTAACAATTTGTATTTCCTGCACCATATATTTCCTGAACCTATAAACACGAACTATATAATACATCCAAAACTGTATCGATCAAAGTATCCACGATAATCGATAATCACAACCAACAACTTTCAACTCCCTCGAAAAATCTATTTTGAATAATTTTCGCGAATCGTATATAAACCGTATAAACGCTCGTTCATCACACGATCGTTCACCATCGATACTCTCTGTATTCACGTTAAAACGCGCATTGTTGCCGATGCGAAATGACATGAACGAGCGGTGGGGGAAAGAGAGAGAAAGAGAGAGAGAGAGAGAGACGGGAAGAGAGATAAAGGGAGCGAGAAAAAGAGAAATCGCGACGAAAGGACCAGTCGAACGTGACGGGTATAACATTCGACACGTCCCATTGTAAAACTGCATCGAGCCACCCGATAACCCCGATGCCACGATGTTTTCGGAGGACGGCCGTTTTGGTCTAATGACGGATCGCGCGGGGACAATGATTGGCGTCGCTACGATGCGTCAAGGCCAGGCTCGACGAGCCACCCCGAAATGTTTTGACTGTTTCGAGTGGCGCTGTCGGCTGTCAATCACGCGCAGACGTCTCGACGTAGACGACCACTTTCGCAGCATTGTGCTCCGATCAATCTGGATGCCGCGCTCCGTGCAAAATCGCCCGATCTCCCACCGATATCTATTCGCGAAACGGTGAAACGGGCTTCGCCTTTGAATTTGATGCAACTTTCACCATTTGTCCTTTCCTATATATATATATATATATATATATATATATATACA